TCTCTTTCTTCTTGTGTGATTTCACTCATGTCTATTAGTCTCTAAAACTTGAATTTACTTTTGTTGAAACTTTTTGTTTACTTATGCACACTGATATGATAAAGGCAACTTGTTTTTATTTATATATTTTTAGCCACTTAGCCAAAAATTCAACCTTGACTAATATCATCCCTTGTTTGAAAACCCCTTGAGCATATTTATCCCATTTTTTGTTTAAAACTCATTACAAGCTCAAAAGTGAAAAACAATGTAATCACCTTATTCAAAGGGTTGAAGGAGTCTTTTTTAGAGTTGTGTGGGGCTGAATTATTATAGTTGTGATACTTCATAAGTTGGCCGAAAAGAAAAAAAATATATAAAGAAAAGAAAAAGAAAAAAAATTGAAAAAGAAACGGAAAAAGAAGAGAATGATGTCAATACATACTCCTTCTAGAAAGAAAAAAAGCAAGAATAAAAAAAGAAAAGAGAAGAGAAACAGCTGCAAGATTTTTGTTTGAAAATGAACGAAGTTTTTGATAGTTCAACTCACACGGCTCTTTCAAATTTCTTTTAACCCTTTGAAATTTAGCCTAGTACCCCTAAGGATCTATCTCACTCTTACCTTGGTCAAGTTACATCCCGAATAAAATTCCTTTTGTTATTTCTGTGCAAGTATTTCATTTGTGGATGTTAGAGTCTTTTCAAACTTATGGTAGTACTAATTTTTATTATGTGTTTTGAGTGTAAACAGTACCCTAATCACTTGAGAGTTGAATGCATTTTATCTTGTGAGGATCTTGCTGCTTTTGATGTACTCTTTGGTAATATGTTTTTCGTATTTGTTTTGAATGTAAAAAAATAGTTACTTACTATAATGTCATATTCTTGAAGCTTAGACTTAGAATTTTATTTGCATTTTGTATCCTAAGAACTTTTGAAATTGTATGCTCTGTTTTGAATTTATAATTTTGCTCGGAGTGCAAAAGTTCAAGTGTTGGAGAATTTGATCAATGCATCTTAATTCGTTAAAGTTTCAGACTTTAGAAAAAATAGTTTTGAGCCAGTTTTAGGTCGATTTTTATATTTTCCGACCCAATTGGGATGAGAAACTAATTGCTTGTATCTTTATACCTAGTAGGAGTCGCGCTACTGTTCATCACCGTTTTTACTAGTCTGTATTCACGAAAATAATTGCTTTGTACGATTGTAATGGAGAACTAATCCTCTCACAGTTGATCTATTGTAATCGCGCCTCCATCATACTTTGAGGTTCTTATATTTCCCAATTAAATCTATTTTTCTTTCAATTCTTCTCTTTGATATCTTGTTTGCTTAATTCGACGTCTCTTAGAGTTGATTTATTTATGTTGATGATTGTATGGTCCTATGCCTTAATTGTGTTTGCTTAATTCGCGTTTATTTTATCATGTTTGCTTAATTCACGATTGTTATTACTCGTATGTCTGCTTAATTCAGAAATTAGGAATATATATCTTGTAGTATCAATTGCGCTTGTTTGATTGATATTGTAATCGAAAAGGGAATAGAGTCTGCTTAGGGATTGAGAATTATTTGGATCGATGATAAGTGGGAGACCGAAACAAGATATCAACTTATTTCATAGTCACTTTTCATAATCAACTTATTTCATAGTCACTTTTTATAATCAATTTTTCTCAATTGAATCAAAAATCCCTTATTCCAATCAGTTGGTTAATTCATACAAGAATCTTTGTGATACGACATTCGAGTGTCGCTTCCTCTTATTGCATTTTTTTAACTCGTTTTTGACTCGTGTGTGACAGCAGGTCAATAAAGACCCGACTCAACTGTGCCAAAAAAGACCCCCTCATCCCTCCATGTCTTCAATATCAGTTACCACAAACTGTTCCATAATAAAGTAAGTATCTCGTTCTGCACTACTATCTTCAGCTCACCAACTGTAGCATACGGTTCCACCATTATAAACACGTCGGGATGCAGAAAATTCAATTACATAGGAGACAAATAAATTACACTATATTTCCAAAGATGGAATCTTTGCCACCCATAGAGAAAATTATTATGTTGGATCCCTTAAGATGAGATCCTTCCCTCCCATATAGGCAATTATATGCTGGATCCTCTGAGATGAGATCCTTGCCTCCCATAAAAAAAATTACGTTGGGTCCCCCGACATTGGCGATGCTAAGTGTGAAATTTGTCATTGTTCATGGATACTTTCAGTAGTATCAGGGTATCAATCATTAGAAGAAAGTCACACACGGCTCTGATCTTTGAGGCGTCGGATCACCATATACATTAGTCAGTCATTATGAATAATCATATGTTATATGGATTACTATTACTCCACCATGGAATAGCTCACTCAATTAGCTTTTTAACGCACTTGAATGTGTCTTATGCTGAGTTATAGAACACGAGATGCGCTAAAATCATTAGTGCTAAAAAATTGTACCAGATGTCTCGCTGGACGAGGTTAAAGCAAGCTCTTGCTTAGCCAACCATATGTGGCTAAGCGAGAAAGCCAGGAATCCCAGTTTTTCCATCCTTGAAACTTCGCTAAGCAAGCCCCTCGTGGTTAAGCGAGAAAACTAGTCCATAATGTGTTCTTACCTCTCAAACCCAGAATTTGCATGCTCATACATAATCTAAACCTACCCAAATACACAATAAACATAGGATATCAAAACACACATGTATAGCACAAATTTTTACAAGAAAACACAAACATATAACATATAATTCAAGAATCACACTCCAAACCCCAATTCACCCATCTTGCAATTCCATTCCTAAGGATTCTACACAACTAGCTAAAGAACCTCACATTGCTTAAAAGGAACCTGATTTGAGAAATGAGATTTCTCCAAGTATTATTCAATGTTTTTCCTTCTTGATTTTGAATTCTGATCCTATTGAGTGTGATGCAGAGAAGATGATGCTTTCTTAATCTAATAAGCATTGCACCTTCTTCGAGCTTTCTCTTCACTTTATCAAGAACTCATACTAATTGGACATGCAAGCTAATTCTATTCCAACCTCTTTTTCCCTCTACCTTGCTGGCCGTCTCCTTTTCTCTATATATCTCTAAATAAAGTTGTTTTTGTTTCTAATTTTTAGTGACTGGGAAATGAAAAATATGAGGATTCCACTATGTCATTTAACTTACATACCCATTTGGTACAATTACCATCTTACCCCATCATTTGAATTCCTTCATTACCAAAATATCCCCCACCACTACTAGCAAGGTTTACTTTTATAATCTTCCATAATATGATTATACTAATAATCAAACAAGTTCACTTAATTGGTGACTAGAAGGAAGGTAAGTAACTTAGAGAAAAGGTCGGGTTATTACATAAATAAAATAGACTAATTATAAAATATTAAAAAATCCAAAATTAATTTTTTTTAAAAGTAAAAACAATATGAAATATATTTTTAAATAAAAATTTATAACGAAATCCAATTTAATTGAGTGGTTTGATTACTTCAAACTATATGTATTAATTAAGTTAAACTAATGGTTTAACATTTAATTTTTGCCGGCAGATTTATTTATATATATTATTGTAAATAAAATTATTGTTTAAAAAAATATAATTTAATTATAGAATGTATAAAATTAACTTTTTATAATTAGTGACTATATACAAGATTTTTTTAAGTTAAATAATATTTATATAAGATTTAGTTTTTTTTAAAAGAAAGTTCAAACACGCTTTTATAATCAAGATTTAGAAAAACGCTTCTTGTAGTCTGTCTTGATTATAAAATATTTCTAAATCTTGATTATAAAAATTTGTGACTATACACAGATTTTTTAAAAGTTAAATAATACGATTTTACCAATTAAGTAAATCTTCCTTGGCTAAAAATCTCATGGAAGTCATAGTATCATCATTAGTCGGAATCGGCAAATCCGCAAGATCGGGGTCACAATTTGTATCGATTATACAAATCATTGGAATTCCCAAAGTGATACATTCTTGAAGAGTCTTATATTCTTCTTCCTGATCAAGGATTATTACAATATCAGGTAACCCTGTCATATATTTTATACCGCCTAGATATGTTTCCAAATGAGATAATTGCCTCTTCAACATAGCGGCATCTCTTTTTGGAAGAGAGTTCAGTTTCCCCGTCTTTTGCTCCGTTCTCAAGTCCCTAAACTTACGAAGTCTCGTTTCTGTAGTATACCAATTCGTTAACATACCTCCGAGCCATTTTTTATTAACATAATGACATCGAGCTCTTATTGTAGCCCGTCTTACTGAATAGGCAACTTTTCTTTTGGTACCAACAATTAAAAATTGTTTTCCTTTGCTATATTTTTTTTAATGATAACTATTTAAATTCTCACAAATTCAACAAAATCCAGTTTATGAAATTAAACTTTTTTTTTTTAAATATCACAACGCATTTTATAAGTTGGAAAAGAAATGTTTTGGTTGAATACTATACTCAATTGAAAAAGTCCGAATTATCCAAATTGTATATCAGGGGATTGATTTAAGTTAAATGAAAATATTGATTGAATACTAAAAAAATTTATGATAAAAAGTTTTTTAAAATCTTAATTGAATACATCCTTTGAAATCAAGTGATTGAAATGATACCCCAGCTCCCCACAAGGTTATTATTATATCAAGAATCATATATAATTCCATTTATGCCCTTGTGGATTCATATCATTACATTATCACTCAATTGAACAAGAATGCATTTTCATGAGGTTTTTAGAAGTGAATAGAAATTTTCCAATGAAAATTGATATTGTTTACACTGTCAGAATACATATTGATTAGAATGAAGAGTTAAAATATGATCCCATCAACATTGAACCTATCAGAGAATTATGTACATTCATGATGAAGACAAAATAGAACATATTATAGACCAGAGAATAACACAAAGTTAACCAACTTTCGGCTAGGCCTTCCGGGAAGGAATAAATATTAATCAACTTCTCTTTTACCTGAATATCAATATATATTGCTGTTTTCCCTTTTATCTCAAAATTTCATTCTTTTTGCAGGTCCTTGATCAAGTATCGGATCAACAGTAGGTGCTTGCGACTCAGTTGCTTCCTGAGTTTCAGGGGCTTTCTCAGTTTCTGCTGTTGAAGGCGGAACATACCCTTCTGGAAATGGTGGTGGAGGTGGAGCTGGCGGAAGCTGCAGCAGCAAGCAAACACTCACTTACAATCAGCTATTTCTTTAGTCTTAGATAGTTAAATGTAGTAAAATTATAATAATATTTTAGGTATAACCTTAGTTTGCATTTATCAACTCACAATCACAGCTACTTGATTAAATTCCTATAGTTATGACTAGCCATGTTGGGCAAAACCTCTCATTTTTTGTTACAAAATAAAACATAAAGAGGATCACCATCTTTTAAGCACTTTTTCTACCCAGCAAATAAATTTTTGACAACACAGGGCAAAGAGAAAATAATAGTTCTATACCCCAATGAATTAGCAAAGTCAGCTTTTTTATGGGCCAAGATTTATATTCTTCTTATGGCTAGAGCCGATCTCTGTGGAAAGGAGAAACAATATTCATGTTCTTCCTTTCAGTAAAGAAAGATTGGGAAAACCCTATTCAGTATTCACTGCACTTTTCTTCAAAAAAACAGGAAAATAATTTTTTTTAAAAGGCTTGAATAATATTATCCACTCATCCTAGAATGAAAGGGCGTGATTTGCTACTATTCCTGGCTTTATATCAGCCACAACTGGAAAACACAAAGCAATGCCAGGGAATAGAAGCCACTTTTCATGATGTTCTGCTTCACACAATAGCACGCAAATGACAGTCATGTTTAATACTAGATTTTTTGAGTAATTGGAAGGAAATAATGGGAAGATATCAAATTACTCAAAAAAAAATAAAATACATAAGGTAAAAGGTAATCGCTATATATATACTGAGCGGCACTATACAGTAGTGTTGTCAGTTGTGTGTAGCGATAAAATAGCAGATTGTCAAAATTCCGCTTTGTGATAATGCTATAGCGCCGCTATATCAACGGCTTGACAACATTTGATACAAAATAGCATATCGTGGAACAATGGCAGCTTGTCCAACTTCCGCTATGCTATAGCGGTGTAGCGTTGCTATAGCGGCTATTTAACAACATCGGTACGAATATCAAACCTTGCAAAATGCACAAAAACAAATGTTTTTATTTGCTTTCTTAATAATAGATATTAGTTAAGAATAGAAAATGTAAAATTTGGTTTTGCAAATATCACCACATCTTTCATGGATGTTAAGAATCTGTAAAATAAACAATCTTCTATAATAGTTCAATCTATTTCATGAACAATTATATAAAACACAAGAGATTCAGGTTTTAATTCAATTTTACCCTATTATTGTTTTTTATTAAAATTGTTATAAACTTCAAATAATGTGCTACATAATTGTTTGAAAAGGAAACAGCGGAAAGTTGTATATCAACTGACCTTGCGTTGCAAAGATGCAAGAATATGATCCACTCGTTTAATTTCTTTTAAGTCAATTGTCTCCTTAGCTGCCTTCGGTTCTTGCAATGTAGTCTCCTTTTCAGAATCAACTGACCCAAGCAAAAGAAACACAATTTAGTAATGTGCACAGAATCAATAAAATATCCTTGCTTAAAATTTCAACAAGAACATGAATTACAAGAAAGCAGAACATAAGATATAACAAACTCGTGACATATCAGATGGCTTAAATGAAATAACCTAAACCTCAACTAAGTTTCTTGTAACTAAAGGTCCACAGCCACAATACAATTCTTCAAACCCTGCCATGTTTTTATCACATTTTTATACGGGGTTAAAAAGGTCCACAGCCACAATATGGGTCGGGTCAGCAAAATATTTGTTGTCTCCCCGACAACAACACGGCCTCAATTAAAACTACATTTTCTACTGTACTTCTCATCCATATAAAAAATCGCAATGTGGCCGCAAATTTAAACCTTGTTTCCTTGGGAAACAAATAGGATCTAATTTTTCCAAAACCGAAAGAAGATATAGAAGTCGAGCTTACCATATCCTATCTTCTCCAACTTAGAGGCAGCTGTAGTAAATGCCTTTTGAATATAATAAAGTGCCCTTCCCTACAAGATCAATATCACAAACATTATTCAGAATACCGCTCAATAAATTTAAAATAAGAAAAGCATTACTAAATGTAAAACTAGAAAAGCCTACAGAATTTATTCAAATTATTCAAAGCACTGATGTTCCATATTGAAGGCGTGTAGTGATCCGGGTGTACTGGTCTTGCAACATGTCATACAAAGAAATAACACTAATCATACACATGTAATTATATTCAATTACTTTCATTGTCTTAAATTAGTACGGTTGACGGGTCAGTGTCATGTCCATGGTTCGGTTCCTACTTCATATCAAGAAGGTTTGTTGAATAAAAGCATAGAGAACATAGAACATTCTAACACGGACGCCTCTGACAAAATGTGTGTCAGTATCAGGGGCTTCATAGATAGAAAAGCAAAACTTACAACTCGAGCAGCAAAAACATTGGACAGCTGAGGAGATTGATAAATTGAACCATCCAAGATGTAATAAGAAAGCATTGGAGTAACTTTATCTGGGCTATCTCTCTTCTGTTTCCGAATAATGAAAAGGTGAGGTTCCATAACTTCACTCAGCACATACTCTATACCCGTCATTTTCCTAAACCAAAACCCTAATAATCGTTAGATTGAAAACAGAGATTGATTGAAAGTGAATAACAGATTAAAACTCACGTGAGTTGAGAGGGATCGAGTGGGTGAAGAGATCGCATTCGAACTTGTTCGTTGTTGCAAGTCCAATCGTAGAACGGTGACAAAGCGAAGTAATCGAAAACGAGGTTACGATCGAGAGGGTAAGTGTTTAGCCATAACTGGTCTCGGAAGCATATTCCGGTCATGTCTGTTCCCGGTGGTTGCGCAGTTGGGACTCCGCCATCCAACATTCCGCCTCCCGGTGCCGCCATCTCCGGTGACGATTCTCTTTCTGTTGTGAATCTTACACTTGTTTCACTACAATGTGTAAGAAAAAAGAGATGCGATTTGGTCCGGTAGAATTTATACTCAAAATATGAGTTTATGAGTGCGAATGTGTGATTATGACTTTGGCAACAAAAAAAAAGGCACGCTATGTTATAAGAAGACAGTGTGAGAAGAGAGAAGTATGTGAGAAATAGAGTAATAGAAGAAAAGATGTGTATTTTATTTTGAATAGGATAAAAATACCCTTCAACTAAAAATTAATATAAAATATGTTAATTTATATATTCATGAAAAATCATTTAATTTTAGCTTTATCAAATTTAATATAATTAATTAATTGATTAAATTAAACATTTATTTTTTAAAGATTAATAAATTAAGTTTACTTATATTTTTAATTAATATAATATAGTTAAATAGTATTAATATATTTATATCTAAGATATAACCTAATTAAATTATTTGATTTATTATATATTATTATTTATTTGTTTTTAATATTTTTTTTATTTAAATTTTATTAAATTAATATTTTAGAAAAAACAGATAGTATCATGCCACATTGTAGTGTAATTGCAAAATAATTAAACTGAAAAGTATTAGGGATGACAAACAAACTCGGATCCTTCGGGTTCGTCCCGAAATTAACGGAAAAAACTCGATTTAATTGAGTTCGCGTGTGGATGCGGGAGAAATTCGGTTCTTAACTACGAGTGCAGGAAGACACTAAGACCTGTCCGCCCCCGCCCCCGCCCCCCGCCCCACCTCCATTTTACTTTAATTCTCTTATTTTATTTATTTTAATATTTATTTATTAATTATATTTTTAATTAAATTATTAATGTCCTTATTACAATTAAAATAACCAAATTAATTAAGTTAATATTTATTTACTATTTAAATTTTTAATTAAATAAGTTATTAATTTATTAAAATAATTAATTTTTTAATTAAATTATTAATTTTTCTTGCAATTGAAAAGAAATTAATTTTTTGCGGGTGGAGGCGGAGCGTGTAACACCCTTTTCTACCCCACAAATATAATGACAAATCAATCACATTTATTATATTAAAATATTAAACACAACAAAATCACCTCAAAGGACGTACATTTCTCAATAACTCAAATAAAAGTCAATGCTCCGTAAACAACGAGTTTTCCCAAAATTACTCAAAAATTACTCAAAGGGCAGCGGAACTCAAAGTTTTCCTTGCGCAGCAATATCATCAAAATAACAATAATCAATAAAACATGATTAATTCAAAGACCCCAACCCGATGTTACACTATTAGAGCAAGATCCTCTAAGTAAACCAAAATTCAAAAACTCCAAAAAATCTTCGACGGCGTACATTCAAACAGGCAGGGTGAGTAAAACGATTCATAATAATCAATATAGGAATCAATATATAAAACAACGTCATTTTCATATTCAACATCATTGTAATCATCAAGGAACATCAAAGGCTACAACGTTATAAATTACACAAAATTGTCACATAAATGCAAATGCAACAAGACTCGTGCATGTGGTACCAATCAACAAAATTCGATGGACACTAGGCCATCCACCCTCCATAGATCCACAACAGTATGATCGATTCTACATGAGAACCGGAGCACAACAAAATACCTCACATCCGCACAATGGGACTGAAGCCACAAGAATCAAGGTCCTAGACTGAAGCCCGAAATGCATATGAATGCATGATGCACACGTCAACATCATCCTCATAATAATTTCATTAGGTGCATCATCATTCATCAAAATCATCATAATAATCATGTCATTATCGAATCATCAAAACCTCATGGAATCAACGCCACAAATCATCACAGTCCCTCATGGGGATTCATCTTGCAATCATGTATTAATCTCATAAGAATCACAATTATACTCATGGGTACTCATCATATGGTCATGTATTAATCACATAGGAATCACAACTATACTCATAGTAATTCATCATACATTCCTTTAATCACATAGGAATCACAGTTATACTCATAGTAGTTCATCATACATTCATTTAATCACATATGAATCACAGTTATACTCATAGTAAACATCATACATTCATTTAATCACATAGGAATCACGGTTATACTCATGGAAACTCATCAAGAAAATCACAGCATCAAACATCAAGACCTCACTGAACCAGAACATAATTCGTGAAACTCTGCTACGTTCGTTAGCATGTTCGCCGTACGAGTTTGGGGAGAATGTTCATCGTGCGAAGCATTATTCGCTGTGCGAACTCGCGATTACAGCAAATCGTTGTTATGCACCAGCACCAAATCTCAGAAGAATCATAGTCATACTCATGGTAATTCATCAAAGAAATCACAACATCAAAACATCAAGACATCACTGCACAAGATCAGAATTCACGAAACTCTGCTACGTTCGCTAGCAAGTTCGTTGTGCGAGTCTGAGGCGAATGTTCGTCGTGTGAAGCATTCTTTGTTGTGCGAACTCGCGAGTACAGCAAATCATTGTTACGCACCAGCACCAAAACCAGACCAAAAACCTCTACGATTTTCTTCCCCAATGCCCTAAAAACATCCTTAAATCATTTATAAGGTATTACGGCGATATAGGCACAAAATCTACAACTTATTAGGCTAATCCCATATCATATTTAAGCATTCAATTCCCATATTTTTTTACAAATACCCCACAATCATTAAAGTTCTCACAATCAATTACCCTATACGATTAAAACTTCAACAACAGATTTTGGCCACGAAGGCCTAATTTCCTTTAAACCCAAATCAACCTCAAACCTACCAGACCATCAGTTCAAATCCCTCAAACTCATTGAACTGATCACCATCAAAAAGGTAACAACAATTCAATCAAAAATCCCTAAACCCTTAAATCAACTTTAAACATATTGAATCACGTATTAAAAACAATGAAGACAATATTCCTCATACCTTAATTGCCGACTATAAGCATTTCTCTGTGATTCTTGGAAACCTTGCAAAGCTTTTGCCTCAATCCTCTCCCTCAGAGCTCTGACCTCTATTTCTTCCCTTTTCATGGTCTAACAAGAATGAATCTTAATTCCCTCAAAATTCCTTTTTGTTAAACCTAACTTTGGGCCTTAAAATTGGGCTTCCAACTTCACCCTCACTAACTCTTCCTCAAATGTCCATTTTGCCCTTAATTCACTTATATTTATTTAAATTAATAATAATGATAATATATTCGTATTATATACTATTATTTAAATAAATAACCCAAAATCCATAATTCTCAATACTTCATACCAACGACCGCAAATCACCAAAAATACGAATATTTCTATTTAAATAAATTAAATAAATATTCCAATAAATTTGGGGTGTTACATGATGCATCTAAGAAGGTTTTAGGTGGTGTGTTGATGTAAGACGGAAAGGTAGTGGCTTATGTTTCACGGCAACTGAGGGTTCTTGAGAGAAACTATCATACTCATGATTTAGAGTTAGTTGTAGTGGTGTTTGTGATAAGGATTTGAAGGCATTATATTTATGGTTCCAAATTCAAGGTATTCAATGATCACAAGAGTTTAAAGTACTTGTTTGATCTGAATGAATTAAATACGAGGAACGAAAATGGTTAAAATTTCTGAAGGATTGTGACTTTGGCTTGAATTATCACCCTGGTGAGGCTAATGTTGTGGTAGGTGCTTTAATTCGAAAGTCTTTGCATATGTATGCTTTGATGATTAAAGAGTTAGAACTTATTGAGCAGTTCAAAGAATCGAGTTTGGTTTACGAGTTAACCCTGCATAGTGTGATGTTAGGCATGTTGAAGGTAAATAATGAGTTTCTTAATAATATTAAAGAAAGTAAGAAGTTGAATGTGAAGTTGGTGGATTTGATGGTTGGGAGTAATCATACTGAAGGGAGTAACTTTAAGGTGGATGAGCATGGTGTGTTGAAATTCCGAGATAGGATCTGTATAACTGATAATCTTGAGTTGAAGAAAATGATTTTAGAAGAAAGTTATACAAGTATCTTGAGTGTCCACCCAAGAGCTACTAAGATGTACCAGGATCTTAAAAATATATTTTGGTGACTTGGTTTAAAGCATGATAAAGCACAGTTCGTGTATGCGTGTTTGACTTGACAAAAGTCAAAGGTTGAGCACCAGAAACCTGCAGGGTTGATGCAACCGTTAGACATTCCAGAGTGGAAATGGGATAGCATTTCGATGGACTATAACGGGATTACTGAATACTCCTAGAGGGCATGATGCAATTTGGGTGGTAGTTGATAGACTGACGAAATCCGTGCATTTTGTTCTAATTAACATCAGTTTTCCTTTGTCAAAGTTGGCTAAGATATACATCCAAGTAATCATAAAGTTGCATGGAGTTTCGTCGAGTATTGTTTCTGATAGAGACCCAAGGTTTACTTTCATATTTTGAGAGAGTTTGTAGAAGGCTTTAGGTTCTAAGCTGAGGTTGAATTTTGCCTATTATCTACAGACAGATGGTCAAATAGAGAGAACTATTCATTCCTTGGGGGACTTATTGAGAGCTTGTGTCCTTGAACAAGAGGGTGCTTGGGATAGTCATATATCGCTGATAGAGTTCACCTATAACAATAGTTTTCATTCTAGCATTGGAATGACACCCTTTGAGGCATTATATGGTCGGAGGTGTAAGATACCTTTGTGTTGGCATGAATCTGGTGAGAATGTAGTGCTTGGACCTGAGATTGTCCAGCAGACTACTGAGAAGGTTAAGTTAATTCAAGACAAGATGAAATCTTCACAAAGTAGGCAGAAGAGTTACCATGATAAGAGAAGGAATGGCTTTGAGTTTCAAGAGGGAGACCATGTATTCTTGAGAGTCACTCTGGTGACCGGTGTCAGACGTACTTTGAAATCAAGAAATTTTACTCCTTAGTTTATCGGTTCATATCAGATTTCTCAGAGGATTGGAGTGGTTGCTTATAGAGTGGTGTTGCCACCTAATCTTTTGAA